CCAAAATATCCAAAATAGACCTCAAGCATGCAACAGAATATCAAACACCACTAGATAATCATGTGTAATCACACTGCCTTAGTTTGTAGTAAAGACAAAAAAAAAAAAAAACTGCCGCCAACAGGCCATATAAAGTGATGAGAGCAATCTGCTCATGTTCTGTAACAGCAAATGTTTAGCTCACACTCGCACGCCACCATCAGTCTCCTCCTCTCTGTGTATCTTCACTCTTTGACTTAGATCATCAACACCACAATGTAGCCGATTCCCGCAGCAGTGAGAATCCTCTTTGTCATGGAGGTGTGAATATTTTGTTTCTGTCTCTCTGTGTTTGTGCATAATTATGAACTGGCAGCGTGTCATTTATAATCTGAGAGGAGAGTCATTTACCACTTGTGGAAGCTGGAGCCAAACAGCAGCATTGTCTGTGTTTTTTTTGGTTTTGTTTCTGTGTTTCGTCTAACCCAAGTCCAGTGCAGTCTCATAGAATGTGAACATTATTTTCCTCCAAAACTTAATTTCTTATGTCCGTCATTATGTAAGAAATCTACATGGAGTAACTGTTCGGTTAGCAGATTCCTTTCCACTCCTGCTGCTGTAAATACATACTGGAGCACAACATTTGGATTAATTCACCACTGAAAATAGTCCCCAACAAAATGCACCATATTGTCCCAATAGAGTTAGCTCAAAACAGTCCCATGTTGGTGTCCTGTTTCTGGCAGTCAATGTTAGTTTCTTTTAAAGGACCAGTGTGTAGGATTTAGTGGCATCTAACTGGGTAGTTGCTGATTATTGGAGTAATTATGGTGGCTGTAAAACACAAAAGGCCCTAGAGCCAGTGTTCGGTTTGTCCGTTCTGGGCTACTGTAGGAACATGGTGGCTAACATAAACACAACCATTCTTATTTTCAGGTGATTATATATTAATGAAAACATACCTACTAATATTATATTCCAATAGATCATCCTAAATGTTACACACTGGACCATTAAACCAAACCACTGAGTTGTTATTTGAATGCAAACCATGATCTTTACCCAAGCCCTTTTTTATGCTAACCATGAGAGCAGAAACGTATATGTGTAAATCTGGAGGGTGCTGTAATTGCATTTGACTTGTTTTGTTGTTTAATTTGTTAATAATACATTTTCTCAAATTTCGCCAGCTTTTTTACCACTAACACATTTACAGTATGATTGATTAATATGTCTTCATAGATACCCAATGTCTACATTTTGTGTATGAAATGATGCATATAAAATGATGAGAAGACTCATTTAGAATGTGCCATTTGATGAAATAGTGCAGCCATTTGCCTATTTATTTTAACAGGGACAATGCAGTTAAGGCTTTCACATAAGAAGAAACAGTGCAACAGATGCAATGTATATAAGGCATCCAGCTCTGGCTGTTAAATTCTGATTTAAACCACTAAATACACAAATGGATAAATCAGATTGAGCAAAACACAAACAAACAACAGAGCCAATACAAAATGTGTACATATGCATGTGACTGTGTGTTTAACATGACTGTGTCTGCACTGACATATAGGTGTGGAAGTGTGTGTGTTTATATGAATACAGTATGTATGTAAATCCATTCTTTTATCTGTTTTACTCGTGCATTGAAATTCAGTGTATTTTTTCCAGATGCAGGAAAAAAACACAATATTTCACATAGTGTCATTGTGATATTATGTAGCGTGACAGAATGTAGCTGTGACAGAGTGGAATGATATGATTCTCCAACCTTCAAGCCCCTTAAAGTAGTCTGAATTTGGCAAGGCTCAATGCTATCTTATTATGAAGAAGATGAGGGACTGTAACTACGGGTGATTTATGTATTATCTTCAACACATTCACTCAGCTCATCAGACATAAATTTAAATTAACCCCCCCCCACACACACACACACACACACTGACACACGCAATTATTTTGCTAAACCTCCAACTGAGGAATTAAAATTAACATACCCAATTTTGAAATATATGACCCCAGTGAACATAAAAATATATCAACCTACCCTAGGATATGTATTCTAATGCTAGAATGCTAGAAATAGTAGCTGGAAAATCTAACTTTTTTTTTTTTTTAAGAAAAACAATTCTTGCTTACTTGAATAGACCTGGGCAAACTGCAAAGAACCTGAGTGATCAACAGAGTTCCTTTATGTTTACTTCTTTAAAAGAACTGAATAGATCATTTAGCATTCATGTATGTTATATGTTTCATTGTCTACATCAGTGGTTCTTAACCTGGGGTCCTTGAAGAGGTTCCAAGAAAAATTTGGTATTTAAAGGCCCCTCTAGTCAAAAATCTGTGCTCCTTCTTGTTCTTACACTGTGATTATTTGAGCTTCACTGTGCAGAATGATGTATGGATGGGATAGGATGTTTTCACATTCATCTGCTGAAAGTCATGCCTGGTCCAGTATGCAACTTCGGGTTGTGAAACACTGGTCTGCATTCATTTTTGCATTGTTGTGGGAATCCGGTTTCTACTTGATGGAACACTGTAGGTGTACTGGTCAACACAGACAAGAAAATGGAGCCATGCGTAAAAGGAAAAAAATTAGATGTAATTTGATAACTTATTCAAACTATTCTCTTTGTATATACGTTTCTGTTCTTTTTTAGAAGTGAATACACCTACAGTAGGTATGGGTAGATGTCAGAGTGAAGCATTTCTTTATGTTTTGACATTTTTCTTTGTGATACGAGTGAAAAGTTTTAAATAAAAGCTTTAAAAAACACAGACTTAGTAGAATACTCATTTGTAAAGTTGCAAACTGATCCAGGGTCGTAGAGAGTTGAAGTCCGCCCACCCATCCAACCAGTACTTACTTTCCTTCTGCTGCACTATTTCAACATCAAACTACTGTCTGTTGTCTCCTTTTTTCATGTCAAAGATCCGACAACTCTTACTTTCCATGCATGCCGCTCATATATTTGCATATGCATTTGCATTCGAAGACATGGTGCTCATTTCCTCTACATTTTCCAGGAGACCAGCTGCTTCCCAAGCAGCGTCTTTTGCACAGTCTTGACTCTGTTCCCATTCAAACTGCAACACTGAAGGACAAACACAGACACACACACACAGCGTCTTTCATTTCAAACAGCCTTCTCCTGATAAGAAATGTGGCTAACAATGTGATGTCTGCATCAATAAGCCACTTCAGCCCAACATCCAAGAGTCACGTGGGATCAAACCCACATCAAAGCCTGGCCGACGCCACTATGAGAGCCCAGCAACAATGGGACAATAATTAAAGCCACATGGATATCCAACCACCCCCTGTCACACACACACACACACACACACACACACACACACACACACACACACACACACACACTCATATCTGTCTCCCTCTTTGTCACAGAAATAGAATGAGCACCGTTTGATGTCTGCCATGACAATACCCCAACCGCTCCAAATCTTGACGAGCACCTACCTGCCATACAATGCGTAAGCAAGTCCTTCCTATCCATTTCAATGCAGTAAACAGACTCTCTGAAGCAGCCAATCATTATTTGGGGCGATGCAAGCTGTCATAGCGAGCAGTAATGCAACAGCAATGCATAACATAATGCCAAAGCGCTTCCAATGCGCACTGCTTAATTAGGCAATATGCAAGAATATGCTCTGACTGTATTGATTCAGACACCTTTTTTATCCATTCATAAATAGTCAGGCTCATTTACCTCATTTATTGTGTAATTAATATCCAGAACGAGCTCTTGTTTTCCCCACAGTAGTCCCTGATTAATGTTCTTGTTTTTTTCTTGATGGGGCTGCTCCCTGATCAATGAGTGGAGGGATTATTTTAACTGTTTAAGGGGACTTAAACAAAAAAGGTGAAAAGTAGCTTGTTTAGGGAGAATTGGCAGGGGCGGATCTAGAGGAGTGGCAGTTTGGTGTCAAATGCTGTCAAATTTAACATATTCATTTAGATTTATTTTGTGTTCAAAAGCAGAAATGAACACAAATAATTGAATAATCTGTGATGGTCACATTTTAGATTAAGTGATAAATTTAAATTCAGTGTAAAAAATATAAAGGAAGAAACTGTCAATTCATTGATTTCTAATTCCACCTTTAGATATTTCTATTCAATGCCACAATAATATAATGTCCAAATATCTTCATTTGGGTGTATTTTCTGAGTAAACATTGATATACACCGTAATGTGATGAGTTATTTTAACTCAAAAAATGGTTGAAACACAAACTCATTTTTGATTAAGTTGATGAAGCAGCTTTTACTTGTAATTTTAAGTGACACAAACTTAGTTTTGTAAGTTACAGAAACATTCCTGATTGTATACTTTTTACCAGGTATTTTGTTTTCACAGTACAAATAAAAATGACTAAATTAAATCAGTGTCACTTAAATTTACTAAAGCTACTTGATCAATAATGTTGTAATTTACTCTCAATGTAATCAGTTTCAGCAATTTTTGGGAGTTTTTGCAGTGGATTGTTTGGGATTTAATCAGCATTTCTGCCAACCCCTTAAAGTCTCCATGCCACCCTCTGGACACCCCGTGAATCGAAGCGAGTCTGCCTCTTTGTGGGTGAAAATCGAAGTGGTTCCAAACCATGTGAGGGGATTTTAGTTCAAGAGGAAGAAGTTTAGAGCAACTGACTGAAGTTTTTGATCACTTCAAGGCAATAGCTGGAGATATTTGAAGGTCACAGCATGTTGTTCCTTGTGAGGAAATAGGTCAACAAAAAGTTCCATCACGAGTGCCTGCCACCGTCTCCAGGGGTGCCACACTGAGCGCGGCGGCTGATGACATAAGGCGCCCTGTGCGTAATGTAGCGCGGGTACTTGTTGGATGCCCTTATTCCCTTTATGAGTGGGCTGTGCCTAGAACATAACTGGCACGACTCTTGATAGGGGAAGAGAGAGAGAGAGAGAGAGAGAGAGAGAGAGAGAGAGAGAGAGAGAGAAAGAGAGAGGAAGAAAGAGGGGTCCCTTGTACCTCTTCAGCATCGACCTCCTCCTCGCTGTCAGTGGGTTCCGGCGCTTTCACGAACCACCACTGGATCTCCAAATACACCGACGCAGTTCCGCTCTGGAAAGCGCACGCCATTTCTATGTTTTGTCCCTCCTTAACCGTCATGTTGGAGGGCAGATCCGTGAAGCGACCTGCAGATGAGAGAATGAGGGATGGAGGGGAGCAGGGGGAGGGGGAGGAGGGGACGTGATAGGGACAGTTGTGTGATTTCTACACGCAAAGAAATGCCCCTGAATTAATCACTTAAACGCTCATCCGCTCGTGGCTGCTGGCGCGGTAGCCGGAAGCTGTGCTGTTGAAAGCAAAAGCGCTTGATAAAGGTGCGTTCTTGTTTTTAATTGATGGAGCTGGAGATAGCCCCCCTAACAACCCCCACACACACACACACACACACACACACACACACACACACTGAAGCGTCTTCATCTGGAATTTACATAACGCACAGTCGCGCCATGGCCACATTATCCACAGATTCAGTTACGCGCAGGTCGAGCTGGTTTTTGCGGGAGTTTTTCCACATTTTCCATTCCCTCTTGTGTCAGTCTGCGGCCGATGTGTCTTTGACATCGCAGATTATATACTGAATAAACTTGACAGTGCTTCCGTGTGTTTGCCCCCCTTCCGGCACTGAGGGAGAGGGAAAAACACAAGAAATAATAAATGAGTTTGGTTTGATGGAGGCTAAAAAAAGGGAATACAGCCTAAAGGAGAGCGGTGGCGACGGCTGTGTGTGTGTGTGTGTGTGTGTGTGTGTGTGTGTAGCGGGGAGGGGGTTGAAGATATTCGGTGCATTCAAACTTTCACACCGAAAACATCCTTTTCAATCCCGCACAAGAGCCGCGTTCAGACTATTTATAGGTCGGTCGGTGATCTTGGGGGATGCAGCTGTAAAGGAGGAAGAGTTGGAAGTGTAACCCTCAGTCAGATGGAGGAGAGCAGGCAGATTCAGCACCGCGGACAGCCGCATGCAGCAGCTGTCCGCGGTGCTGAAATCCGCGGCTCGGCGCTCACTTTTCCTGAGGGAGCCTTCTCAAAAGAACTTCTATCTCTATAATGTGTTTTCTGGGGTGAAAGACAATGCAAGGGGGTAAAAACAAAAAAGCCAGCCAGCCTCCGCACCATGTGAAACGACTCGATCTCAAACAATCACCAGTTGCATTTTTTCCCCCCTCATCGCGCGGTTACAAAAGAAAAACGCAACATTCTTCATCTTCCATCATGAGCTTGTTTAAAAAAAAAAATCCTTTCTGGGTTTATCACAATCCATCTGACTTAAAACACCTCCAGTCTTCCTCCCAAAACAGCCTCCTTCGCTTTTCCCACAAAGGCTGCGCACTTTTAACACTTTCTCCCACCGAGCAGCCTCCGCCGCGCAGCGCCACACGATGCCACCGACACTGTTTGTTAAGAAAATATCCCATTCCTTACCTTCAAAGGAGAATCCCAATTGCACACAAAATCCGGCTAAGAAAACAAATCCAACAGTATCATGAGAGGTCCACATCATTCCAATAAAAGAGGGGTCTGATTTACATCAGCCGAAGGGGGGGAAAAAGACGAATCTCTCCTCACAAAAAAGAAGAAGCCTACAGCAAAATCAAACAGTTGCTGGGCGAGTGTGTTTAAACGGAGATTGCCGAAGGTGGTACATGCTGCAAAAACTACAGCTTTTGTCGTTGTCGAAGTTGTTTTTTGAAAGAAAATGCCCCCTCTCCGCGTCTCTCTGCAGGAGAGATGTGTCGACTGGCTCGGGCTGTACTGAGGAAGTCTGTGAAATAACCGGGCTGCGGTCTTCGTCTGCGCTACCGGAGAGACGTCAGTCTAGTGGATCACTGTGGCATCCACACACACACACACACACACACACACACACACACACACTCCTGCTAACACCTCTGCAAATCTAGTCCTCATCCGGCCCCTCGCTGTCACCTTGGCCGCTTGTTTTTTTTTTGTTTGCTTTTTAAAGAATGCGCCGCCAAAAACTGCTTCTTTTATAAAGAGGGGGGTCTTTATTTTGAAATTTCTCTAAGGCGATTCTGAGTTTGTTGCACTAAAGATATGACGGAGGTTTTAAAGGCCCTCCTCCACCAAACCCTATCAACAAAACAGAATAGTTTCTCTCAACACGCATACAGAAGTGTGCGTATTTCTATTTAGCATGGGTGTGTCCAACAGGAGACCCTCGGACAGCCCTTCTAAGAGGCAATAAAACAATATTGTAGCATTAGATAGGAACAAACGGGGGTGGGGGTGGGGGTGGACCAGCGACCCGGCAAGTGCAGGGCAAGCACAGCATGTCCCGAGTCATTAAGATAGAAGAGATCCTGCTGGAGTATTATTAGTCTCCCGGGCAGACCGAGAACACTTTGCCCTTTAGTTGCAATGGGCACAAATTGTGCCACTCCTTATATTTGCCCCTAATTGTCTCGGAGACCAAAAGCAAGGATCATCCTTTTGGGACAGGCACTTTGCTCCTCCATCAACACAAAGTGTCTGTGGGCGAAGGTATTAAAGCGGCTGGTCTAGAGTCAGCTGGATAATCACTGGTCCCTGTTGTCATCTGGTTCACAGCAGACTTTGTGTGTTAAAGTTATACATGCTATTTTTTTTTTTTTTTTTTTTTTTTGCTAGTTTACTAGACTAAATGAAACACATTTATCCGGATGTTGGTAGGGATGTATTATCAGTGTTAGGGATTATACCAGCCGTATTTAAAGCTGCATTAGGTCATTTTTATAAAAAATATTATATATGACTAATATTATAGTCATATTTGCAGAACCTTTCACTATATCCTGACACTAGAACACAAGAGTAAGACAAGATAAGATAAAAACAACCAATCAGAGCTGAGAAATCTAGTTTATTAGGAGCCTTTTTCCAGCGTCAAATACAGACACTTGGGGGCCTTGTGGATAAGACTCAACATCAACTGTCTTCAAGCCTCCAACCCAACGTGTCTTTATATCTTTCTCAGCTCTGATTGGTTGTTACCATTCAGGCCCGGTGGATTCTTGCAAATCCCATTAGGGGCACTAGCAGGAGCCAGAGGAACCGGATTTTTTCACAGATTATCTGTCAGGATATAGTGAAAGTTTCAGCAATAAAAAAAGTTACATAAAAAATGTTTCAGTTGCTTGCTGGTAAGTTTTACCCTTACAAACAATTTTGGGCCAAAGAAAATATGCTTTTATTTTTAGAAAATTTGACAGCAACAGTTAAAAAATGCGTTTCAGTCATTTGGGTTTTTTTTTTATTTACCCATTGCTTGTCAAGCTGTCAGATCACCGTTAAAATTTAGGTCTTTGATGCTGAATATAAAATAAATATAAAAAATAATATATATAAATATAACATGTTATATATTATTACAAGTAATTGGTAGATTCCAATGCTATACTATCAAAGTAGCTTCCCCAACACTGACTATTCTGTAAGTAAGTATGCAGGAATGCTCTCTATTTCTATTATTTTATTAACATGCAATGGTTGTTACATTTGAAAAAATTTGAAAAAATTTGCATACATGGCACATTTGTTTTGTAAAATACTTGTATTTACTGGCGTCGCCAGAGATGATGCAACTCCAGTCTTCTTTTTTCCTTTCCCCCCCACTGTGAGTACCTCCTTCATTACATATTGGTCCTGTTGTGTGGAAAAGTGTTCACAAGGTTATTGATATTCTTTATGAGAAAAAGCCAATCTATCAGTAGCTGCCTTCTAGTTTTTATCGTCGATCAGTAATTGTTTTTAAGGATTTTTAGAGGGGGTATTTACTGCCTTTATTTTGACAGGGAAGCCACATGCCCATCTGTGCAGGTACCCCATTGGCTGACGTGACGCTTTTAGTATATATATTTGTTTTGTTTGTTTGTTTTACCTTTTTGTGTTCTTTCTGCTTGGTCTGACAAAAAATATGTTAAAAGTGTTGCAGGAGTTTTGACCTCTTCAGACACTAATATTGACGGGAAACTGTAGAGAAGAAGTGACAGGAAATAAGGATGGAGTGATGAGGGGTGACATGCAAGAAAAGGTCCCCGAGGCATTAAGATTACATGTATTGAAGCATGGGTTCACATTTGTCAAGTATATCTTTCAGCAGTGCTCACATGCCTATATGCACATTGGCCCTCCTGTCTGGCTGCAAATACATTCTTTCCTAAAGCAATTTCAATGTAAGTGAGTAATGTAAAATGTAAAGATCAGCTGAAAATCACATGATGTTTTACATGAAATAAGCCATGTGGGTGGCCAGTATGGACAAGAGGATCAATTACAGTAACCAATAACTCTTTAAATATAAGAGACTGAAAGAAACTCTCAAGTTCAACCTGAAAATGAATTGGGAACGAGATTGACAGAATTGTCTTCGTCGGCCTTCAAAAATAAATCATCGCTACAGCACTCTTTGAGATGGAGTACTTGATTAGCGAGCTGCCTTTCATTATCTACCGCCGAAGGCTGTTCAGTGTGAAGGTGTGCAGCGTGTCTTTGGCTGAAACGTGTTTCCTGCAGCAGACTTGGAGACGTGTGTGCTCCTGTTTGGTGGTGGGTGTCAGAGGTGTTACCGGAAGAAGCAGTGACACATACAAACACTGTGGCTCTTCCAAACATCGCCTCACATTTGCTGCGCAGCTGCACGGCATGTGAGACAATTTGCACCTGTTGAAGGCATCAAAAACCATAAACCATGTTTATCATAACTACTGTTTCCAAAAGTATTGGACAAATACTTCAACATGTGTTTCCAGACAGCATGATACTATAGTTTATCACTGTAACACAATGAAACCACAATCCCTTAAAATACCTTTGATTATTTGGATACATTTTGAGCAGATTATGTGCTGTGAATGTGGCATCTGAGAGGAGTTTTCCTTATATTTTTTATAAACTTTTATAATTCTCTGACTATATTATGTTTTTTCGTAACAATCATACATACATTATAGGCTTCTTTTTTGACAAATTTGGTGTTTTCTTCTTAATGTTCTAATCACTTTTTGGTTGTTTTAACGGCATACTTTTCTAATGCAGGCTAGTTTTCTGACACCCCTCAGGATAAAGAAGGTCTCTCAACCCCTCGTCCAGTTTGGAAACCAGCACCACATATCATAAATAATTTGTCAATGGAATAGGTAAAAATTAAATCCCCCCAAAAATCAACTACACTAAATGATATGACTTAATTATTTCAAATTGAGGTGCAAATTAATTAACAATTACATCCTTAAACATTAATTCAGTGTGTAACTGAGGGCTACTATAAAGTTCTCAAAACCCCCCAAACCCTTAAAACACTTTAAAATCCCATTTTAAATCCTGTTTTAAGGGGTTCATGACCCTTTAATGCACCCATTATTATAAATTGAATCATACATACAGCATTATACAATAGCAGTATGTGGATGTTCACTTTAATTGTACAGTTAAAGGCCCTTAAAGATATAAATTATTGGTCAGTTTTTAAACTCTGCTCATAATCCATTAAAATCACCTTAAGACATTGCAGCCCATCAGTTGCTCTATTACTGTTCCCCTTTAAACCTTTGTTTTTGTGAGCTGTAAATTAAGCCCGTGCTGCGGTAAGCTCCTGCTTCTTGTCATGTCAAAGTCATCTGAAGAGAGAAATCAGATGTTGACATCTGATAGCCAGTGGTTCCTCGTGCTCAGAGGCCACAATGTAATAAGGGCACTTTAAGAGTCACCTTGGAATCAGGTGACTCCTCAACATACAGGCAGAACATGCAGTCATTAAGGTTTATCGAACAATTTGTTGTGGCACTGGATTTTAACAGCATTTAATTTACCAGAATGAGCTACTTGCACTGTAAAACCAGCTAAGTTAGTTCAACTTAATCTTTGGGAATTTTAAACCATTTAACCAAGTTTATTAACTCAAACAGTTTAGCATGAAATATATTGAAGGTACATTGGGTAAATTGCGTTTAATTCATTGGAATGAGTGACTCCACATGTTTTGGAGGATTGAGTTGACTTACTTATTTTATTAAGATATGCTGTTTTACAGTGCGTGAGTTCAACTTTTAATTAAATATATAAACAAAATTCTGAATGGAAGTTAATCCATTATTATGGTTCAGACCAAATGAAATCAACCATCCATGCCATCATACTTCTGTAGAGGGAATATTATGTGTAAAACACAGCATAGCTTATAATGTGATTTGTGATCTGACTCATCAATAGTGTAGCTGATTTAGTTCACATATTTCTATACCAACAGATACACAGCAAGAAATATGATCGTCTGATTATTTTCTCTCTGGAGGAATAAAATATATCAGTTTTATAACACTTTCAGATTCCCTGCTCTTTAAAAAATTCTGTTTGAAGTTGAATCATATCTAGACTTGCATTCATTTAGTGACTCACAGTACAGTAGTTTCTAAATTTAACTGAAATCTTGGAAAATATGGATTAATGTGTACAAATATAAAACATAAAACTGCCTGTGAATGTTTGATTATATTTAATATATTCATATTTAATTCTATATTTTGTTTGAGTCTGAACACTGCAGTAAGTCCCACACCAAAAAATTTATGGTTTCTTTATTTTTCAAAAAACTTTCTTAAAAAATATTTGCACTAATTTAGATATCTTAGTATGTAGGCTATATTATGATTTGATTAACTTTAGTTCATAGATGTGTTTCATTAGTGGAATGTCGCCTGTTACAACGGCAGCCTGTTATGGCAGCTCCTAACATTGTTGTAGTTTTAGTGTGTTTTCAGTGTTTTTAGCTTGTGTTTTCTTCTATTTTTAACTGTTTTCTTACTTTCTTACTACTTTTTTCACATAGCCGAAATACTTTTTCTGCTTTTTTGAGCAATTTTTATTTTTTGTTTGCACTGGTCTCCATGGCGACGGGGAGTCCCATTGTTTACACCTGTGACCAGATGATCGCCCTGAGGTACCCGAGCATCCTGACTGGAGAGAGACCCTCCATACCGGAGGAGCTGAGGAGGAGACGGCAAGGGTGTAGAGCGGGGGTTAAACGGAGGATGAAGAAGAGGAGGTTTAAACCCTACATCCCTGCAATCATCACTGGAAACGTAAGGTCGCTGGCAAATAAAGT